CCATGCCGAGAGATATACGACAAAAAGAAACAATACAACACAGAGACAAACAAATAGCAGACTGTAAAGTAAATAAAATAATACACAACGTCCGCACCAAAAATGTATAAGTCAATACACTTCCTAAAGTATTTGTGAAGTTGATACTGAATATTTATATATTAGGTCTTGTTACTATCGGCTATAGGAGTCCGTAGGACTATAAATTTGTTTTAGTGGATTTACAATGGAATTTCTCAAGTTTCCGATTTGATTTAATATATAATTATGTGAATATTTGACAATTAATGTCTCTTCAGTGATGCTAGACATCAAAATATTTGAAAACCAAACAATAAAATCTTGAATTACAGTCTTAAAGTGAGGTTTTTAATGCTACTCTAAGATGTATAAAAAAATGACATTTTCCTCACCGTAATTAGATATTTTTTTTTTACTACGTATAAATATGATATATATATGTCGTGTACAAGTTGCGATTCTGTACCTGTTATAACATGTACAGAAATATTGTACATGTTATAATTTGTACAAAGCAAAAATACAAGTTATAACATGTACAAAAGTACCTCGTACAAAAATATTGCTTAAAAATGATTTTAACTTGTACAAAATCTTAAAATAAATTGAAATAAAGCAGAATATACATTTGAAATTTATTGAATAATAAAGTATAATAATCAAAAGCTTTTTTCTTTAAAGCACAGTGATCTCAAAGTTTCAGAAATGTTTTTAATGCTTCATGGCTTATGTTGGCATAATGCGTTTTCAGCTCATTGTATGTTTTATGCAGTCCATTATGGCCGACATCAGTGTGACACTGTTAAATAATAGCATACATTTCCTCAAGGGCAACAAAGTAGATAGCTGGTTCATCTGATATTTTTAAGAACACTGCCTTAAAACTTTTAATTATACCCCTCCCCCTCTATTTTTAACATGCAAACATTAATGCAAGGTCTCCTGTTTATACTATATAAAAGCCCGAGAGAGAAAAAGGTTTTCATTGGACTGCACTTGATTATAAATAACTTTGGAATTATTGAATGTGCTCTTCAACATTTTTGGCCTTGAGCATAACTGATGTAAATCTTACGCATCAAATTATTATTTTTTGATAATTAATAAGATCATTGCATGAGTCGAATGTCATTTTGATGTTTTAAATTTCTATCTTTCCTTTGATACAGGGTATTGTTTGCAGAGGAATTTTTCCTCAGCATATCAGGGATTTAATTGTAAAATCTATCCTGGCTATCCACTTGCATCTCAAGTCTCAACTAGTATGAAAGTATTTTACTATTGCCTTCTGAGTGGTAAAAACAATTATAATTCATCAGGTGAGAATATTGAATAATGTTTGTGGACTACATGTGTGTTTTAAAAGGTATTAAGTAATTATAATAACTATTCATCTGGTCATTAACTATATCAAAAAGGACAAAACACACTTACATGAATGAACAATAAAATTTATTGAGGTTAATGAACTGCGTTGTAATGATAGAAACATATCTTTCTTTCAAATTTTGAACAAGTTAAAACCATTTTTAAGCAATATTTGGCACATGTTATAACATGTACGAGGTACTTTTGTACATGTTATAACTTGTTTTTATGCATTGTACAAATTATAACATATACATTATTTCTGTACATGTTATAACATGTACAGAATCGCAATTTGTACACGACACATATATATCAGACCTGAAATCTTTGGCATTACCTTTATTTAAGGATGTTCGCTACTCTCGTTTCAAAATAACAAGCTTTTTAAAACACTGTTATAAATTGATAGTATATAAATAAAGGAACTAAAAAAGCAGAAAAAAATGAAGGGTCTGTGAGCTCGCTTTCGAGATATCAGCCATTGAAAATTTGGCGGGAAATGATTCTCCCGAGATTTTTCATACATTTAACATTGGCACCTTTTTCTTTCAAAAACTATGAAAAAATAACAAGACACTTATCCAATATGGCTTTTGAAACTATATGTTATAAAAATATGAAAGAAGGGGTTAGCGGGCAAAATTTTTAATGGCACTACATGGATAAAACCAGAGGATTCCGAATATTTGGCAAACATTCAAAACCAAGAGGAGCAAACATCCTTAACAACTGTTTTATATAGAAAATAAAAAAATCAGGGGTTGGTGTTCAAGAGAATATCATACATTTTGTGGATTAAAACACAACAAAATAAATGTATGGACCGTAACGAAAATCACCCATGTATAGTCATGTTTTGGTCTCGTCAAATACTATAATCAAAACCCGTTATTTCGTCAACCTTTTTGGTATTCTTCGCTGCTATTTGTTTTGTTATTGGTTAAATTTATTGACGTATTTTATATAAAAAAAAAATAGAATAGAATTGTGTTTGAATACTTTGCATTATTCTTCCATTCTTTCTGCATTATGACTTATTAGAGAGAGCGACCATTTCCCTTTATAACATTTATTAATATGCATACAAATTCACATCCGGAATGCGAACGGGATATTCACTTTTCCTATGCCAAATTATCTGGACGTAAAACAACTTATGAAATAACCCAATGAATGGTCAATAGGTGGCCGTCCTCGATCAGTCCCATGTCAATCCTGTTTACGCATTATAAACTTGTTTAGGTCTTGAATATGAATGACACATTTGCCACTTAGCACGTTACTGTGGATTCATTGTTATTATTAAACAAACGACTGATGGCGAAAAGACAAACAAGTGCACAAAACACTGCAAAGAAAACTAAAGATTGAGGAACAGGAGCCCAATAAAAACTGAGAGTCATGTGCTCCGGAGAGGTTAATAGATCCTGCTTCAATTGTTGTAATCGTCCTGTTTTCATTGTAAGAAAAGTATGAATTCTGTAATTTCCCAATCGAGAAAGCAAATCGGAACAGGACTTAGAATATATCAGTATAACAAATAGTACATGCACCTAAAATTTATACAACGTAACATAAGAATTGTCCATTGAAATAAGAGTATCAGTATCCGTAAACGATTGTATGTGTAGTTTTTACTATTGTGACATTTTGTTCCTAGTCTACATAGCAAGCGGACCTTGTCTGGCATCTTTTGGTGTTCACCTGATTCAATTTTCCTTTTCTCTTGGTTTGTTTCTTCCGAATTGATTGATGAATTTTCGATATCAGTTAAAACCGTAAACAACCTTTTCCTCTTATTTTGTTTCCAACTCTTAGATTGTATGAATAATATTCAGCAGGGCATAGTACAAATGTCTTGACGTTAAACTCTTTTGTAACCCTGTATCAAACACAAAATATAGCAGTATATTCTAATATGTATATTCGGATGATAGAACAATGACATTACGATTTAATCAACCATTTTGTTTGATTTGTCTTTTTTATTCCTAGACATGAAAATAAATGTTACGGTCATGATTGTCTTAAATCAAAATAAAAAAATATTTGTGAAATATCCATGTGATGAAATTATTATCTTTAAAATTCAAACTAGTCATATGTTGTGCTGTTACATCACTGTCCTAGGTTGGGGGAGGGTTTGGCGCCCGCAAACATGTTTAATCCGGCACATCATGAAGGTACCTGTCCTAGGTCAGGAGCCTGTAATTCAGTGGTGGTCGTTGGTTGCTGTCTAACATTATTTTAAAAAAAAAAATTTTAGAGGAGGGGGGGGGGGGGGTTGTTCTGCATAAATCTATATTGTTTTTAGTTCCTTGTTTTTTACATAAATTAGGCAGCTTGTTTTCTCGTCTGAATTGTTTTACATTTGTCATTTCTGTGCCTTTGAAAGCTGACTATGTGATATAGGGTTTTCTCAATGTTGAAGGCCGTTATATGTGGTTCAGTGTCTGGTGGAAAGTTGTCTCATTGGCAATCATACTACATTTTCTTATTTTCATATGTTCTACCTTAATTATTCTGTTTTAGACAATTTGCAATAACTTCTTCACACCCAATTTAGATAAGCTGTAGTCACAACTATTTTTGTCAAAGTAAGCAGATGTAATCTATTTCAATCTATCAATTCTGATTTATTTTATGTGCATATACTGCTTTTGTGTCATGGGTGGATACTCCATATCCTTTGTTTTTTTATTAAACTATACAAATCTGATGTTAAAGACTAAAGCATGAATCACTCAGCGTATTTAGTGAAAATTCGTCATAAACAGTCTGGGGAACGCATGACTTGTGCAATGCCAAAAAGAGGTAAACAGTATCGACCAATTAATTTCCAAGCACAGTGCCAAAGTAAACAGTATCGACAAATTAAAGTTCCTAGCACAAATCCGAAGAAAACAGTATCGAATAATTAAGGCTCGGCACAGATCCATAGATTAGTATTTTGTTTTACATTTAAGAATGACATTCAATTATATGATGTTCTACCAACAAACACATTATGCAAACTGAAGTTTATTAGAAGAAAAGCAGAATCACGAACTACATGTATACACAAAAGTTCAGTTTTAAAATACATATTATTGAGGTTGATTCCTGTAATGCATATGTCAGTGCATAGTACACTAATGATCACATTGTAAAAAAATTGAAAAATACAATCATGTTTATTTTACTCTATGATATTAACAAATGGCCTGTGATTCCAGAAAACAGTATTGAAAGAAGGTCACAACAACATACGTATATTTTTGGATAGTATATAATATATATGCAAAATCTACAATTCTCCTAGCTGTTTCGTCTCATGTCATGCGCTATTTCATTGACTTTCTTCCAGATTTATGTGACGTAGTAATTACTCCTGAAAACATTACATTTGACTGTTAAGCAATAATATACAATTCTTTATATTAAATTGGTACTTTATCGCCGCTTACATTATCATGGACCAATGAAACTCATAGTTATGCAATATCTGTGTAGGGGTTTAATTTCCTAAAAAAAAAATTGTAACACTTGCTGAAACAATTGTTTACACCACTTTAATTTATAAATGACAATATAAATACTATTATTGATTATCATACTAACCATACTCATAGCTGTAAATAAAACAAAAATATACATTATCAATGCATACATACGAGTCCTCTGTTGTTCTCTTTAGACGTTTTGAGTTTCAATCTCTATATAAATCCAAAGAAAATTGTTTATTACTCAGCTGGGTTTGTCATCAATACTATTACATCTGTAAGATTTTAATGTTCAATATTCTAGCTATGTTGTCTTTCTTATTGCTGCAATATATCTGTATGCAAATTGAGATGGACACTGGTAAACATTAAGAAACCAAGATCTTTGTTCTTAGGAGATTGATGAATTTTTTTAGTTACTGAGTATCAAATAGTCTATATTAAGGGTGATGTTATATTCAATCAGTTTCATGTTAATATTGTTTGAATCATTTTCAGCAATTTCCAGGAGGTTTCTAACCGAATTCATACGTCCTTGTTCATGCCCTTTTCTTTTAGTGGAATTCCTCTTTTCACCTCGTAAGTGCGATCTTCCTTCACTGTTGTCACCTTATTTGTCTTTGAACATTTCTGACAAATGTTGACACAGTCGATTGTTACGATAAATCCAACTACGAGCGCAATGCACAGTGCTCCAACTAGACCCATGGTCTTTGATGAAAACCTGTCGTCAGGGGCACTGGTTATTGAGCGTCTGTATTCTAAAAATGGCAATACCGTATACATATGTATGTATTAAGTACAAATTAATGACAGACAGTATTGACCATTTAATAAATAATAGCAATTTATATATATATATTTGTTTTAAAGTTAATCTTGGTTACAAACTGCACGAAGTCTTATAGTTTATAATGAAGCAATGTGCTCCAGTGAGAGTTTGATAATAAGCGGGTGTATTTAGATTACATATACATACGAAAGTACAAATCAAAGAAAATGCGTTCATATAATCTGTATATCCTAAAATTTTAGACATTTTACATATATACTTGTATTTGGAAGATTAAGGTAATTTGAGAACAAATAATTTTCATATTTTCTAAATTTTTCTATGGGTTTAATTCGAAATTATATAAATGAGCGTACAAGGAAAAAACATTGATAGTAGAAAGATTTAAAAAAAATTACGATTATAAAAAAAAACATGCATTATGAGTAACGTCTATTAAGTAGTTAAAAAAAAAATGCATTATGAGTAACGTCTATTAAGTAGTTAAAAAAAACATCCTCTAAATGTAAAAGATAATGTGAAAAACATACGAATAAAGACATGAATTAAAGCTAAATAAAACACAAAAAAACAAGACTATGGATATTTCTCAAACTATATCTTACTACTAGTAGCCTTCCTATCTACTTTAAGCACTTTCTCCGGTTTCTGAATTTGTCCGCGCAAGTTGGTCTCTGGTAATGATTTATTACATAGTTGGTAGCAATAACTGGAAGATGCTAAGTGCACAGGGGTGGAACAAATATCAGCTTGGTGTGCTAACGGCTGGCATGTCGATGCTTTGACTGAACACAAAAAGTGAGATCATGTTGAGCGGTTACTTGAATATAGTCAACAGTAGCTTACTAATGTTTATAAATCGAATAAGCAGACAAACTAACACAATCGAGGGAGTCGCATGTACTCCAAACGAAACATAACCGCGTTCGTCGACAGAGAAAGCATATCCTGTTATCTATGCATCACCACTATGCGAATCCAAACTCGGTCAAAATGTCACTATTGGGAATAGGACCCAATCAGTAAAATTAATGATTAGACGGCTTTTCTGGTATCTAAAGATTGCGATGGCAAATTATGCAAATAGTTTTAGTACATAATGACCACAAGACGCATTAAAACATTCCATTTTATCAGTGTTGAATATATACTTTGGATTTTTTTTTTTTTTTTGAAAGGAATCGTTTGCGTGATATGTGTATATATATATTGATGTGTTCGTATTCTTTTTCAGATTGTATATTGTATTATTCTATTGCTCAATTTATCTTAATAAAACACCTGATATGATTTAACATATATAAGGTACAATGTGCATATGTAATCAAAGTCCTACTGCATTTTATTTATCTCATACCCTACTATGACATTTTTTGTTTTTATTAAATGTGTGCTGGTGGGCGACTTCAAACTAGAATCATTGATAAACATGATAAACGTTATGATTCCAGTTTTCTAATTGTCAACTTACCATTTATGCGACTGTGACTGCTGCAAATAACTTTGTGCTTGTCGATTTATATCTGATGAATGACTTAACAAAATTTATGTGGAAACAGACCAAAAGCTATTTTTTACCTGTTCAAGTTTTTTTAATGAACGCAAAAGAAAACACCTAATATTTATGTATATTTTCTTGACTGTCTTCAGTATTAAATGCTAAGTGATGAAATGATTGTTGGAGTTGCCTTTTCACTGTCAATCCCCATAGAGCGCATTAATTATTTCAATACCATAGCACACAAACAAAACCATGACTCAATCGTAATATTGATACTGGTACATACATGTGACAAACATTCCCAACGTATCTGCTCTGTATCCGTTTTGGAACACTGGAAATAGAACATAGTTACTTTTTTAATTAGTACTGTAATTTTAATTGTAGCGATGCTGTAGTTTTTCTAGAAAAGTATTCTCTTAAAGTTGTAAACATAAATATAATTAAAACAAAATGAAGCCCAAACTAGATTAAACAAACGAAAAAAAACAAAAACATGACAAAGCAAATTTTAAAAGCAGCTTTTAGTTTTGTAACAACGGTCAAGATTAAAATAGTAATTACTTTTCATGAATGAACTCCAACAAAGCAATTTATGACAATATCCTGAACCAATACTTTTTTAACATTCTAGCTGATAGTTTGCAAAAGAAGATCACATTTTTTATGTGTTTTCAGATGCAAAAACATGGAAATTAAAAGGGCTTCTAGTATGAAACCTTATGTCCATTATGTTTAAATTTATGTACATTTAGCGTTTATGTCGAATTCATTCAAACAACTTAATAATCTTTTATACAAATAATCTTATAAATTCCTATTTGAATTTACACCTTGTACAATGCTGAAATAAGAGGTATAATTTGTCACGTAAAATGTTGTGTGATTTTATAAGTACATAATTCATTTGTGAACATACTCTTTTCAAACGTCATTGATCTGTTGACTGGACTATAAAGTATCGTTAGTGTATTTTCTTGTTCGTAGTTACATACGCCGTCACTGCCTTCATAAACAAGCAACCAACCTAAATCTCCTGGACATTCTCTAAATAATTTACTCACAAAGAAGCGTCTGCGGTGATGGGAATAGCTTAAATAAAAACAAATGATGAAATAGATACAGTATATATATATATATATATATATATATATATATATACAAGTCTAAATTGAAAACAACGTTCAAACCTATGATTGCGTTGGATAAAAACAGCAATTTTTATACGTGTGCATGCAAAAACAAATTTCTTGTTAGAGGGGTCTAAATACAGCACAAACAACATTTTCCAAAAGACCAAAAAAGTGAAAAGTATATTTTAACAAAACTCATTTGACTAACAGGTCGAACAACAAATGTTCTTAAACCCTGCTGACTGCCATTGGCGAGTGCCAAATAAACGGATCACAAGGTGTAATAAATGGATCTTAATTAAAAATTTAATACCAAACAGAAAACAATAAACTTGCGGCAAAGATGGTATACCGCAAACAAAGGTGCAAAGATTTTTGTACACCATATCCGGATTTCGACAATTAATGTCTCTTCAGTGATGTTAGGAATCGAAACAATATTTGGAAGGCCATGTAATTTACCTCAATTTAGGATGGACTCTCGAATTTTGAGGAGTCAAATTAGGATGAACGGATCATATAAACCCGAAGGCAAATATAATACAAGCCCAAACGAAAAAATATAAACAAGTCTAAATTGAAAACAACGTTCAAACCTATGATTGCGTTGGATAAAAACCGCAATTTTTATACGTGTGCATGCAAAAACAAATTTCGTGTTAGAGGGGTCTAAATACAGCACAAACAACATTTTCCAAAAGACCAAAAAATTGAAAAAGTATATTTTAACAAAACGCATTTGACTAACAGGTCGAACAACAAATGTTCTTAAACCCTGCTGACTGCCATTGGCGAGTGCCAAATAAACGGATCACAAGGTGTAATAAATGGATCTTAATTAAAAATTTAATACCAAACAGAAAACAATAAACTTGCGGCAAAGATGGTATACCGCAAACAAAGGTGAAAAGATTTTTGTACACCATATCCGGATTTCGACAATTAATGTCTCTTCAGTGATGTTAGGAATCGAAACAATATTTGGAAGGCCATGTAATTTACCTCAATTTAGTATAGACTCTCGAATTTTGAGGAGTCAAATTAGGATGAACGGATCATATAAACCCGAAGGCAAATATAATACAAGCCCAAACGAAAAAATATAAACAAGTCTAAATTGAAAACAACGTTCAAACCTATGATTGCGTTGGATAAAAACCGCAATTTTTATACGTGTGCATGCAAAAACAAATTTCTTGTTAGAGGGGTCTAAATACAGCACAAACAACATTTTCCAAAAGACCAAAAAAGTGAAAAAGTATATTTTAACAAAACGCATTTGACTAACAGGTCGAACAACAAATGTTCTTAAACCCTGCTGACTGCCATTGGCGAGTGCCAAATAAACGGATCACAAGGTGTAATAAATGGATCTTAATTAAAAATTTATATATACATATACAACTCGTCTAAACATCAGCCCAACAATGTGAGATCTGTAAATTTGCTTTCGCAAATTTTTTGTTCTTCCCTCGCCGGGATTCGAACATCATGCTACTGAGATATCGTGACACCAAATATATATACTGTATCTATTTATATACATAAAATGTCTGAATAATAGCCAACGATAAATCTTTCGAGGCGATGGATCATATAAATATCATACAATACACTACAAAATATAATAAGCAAGTCTAAAAGGGTACATCATAAAAAAATAGTAAAATCATGAACAAATATCAAATATTTCTGATAAATAATATCCTTCATCAGTAAGATGTCAAAGGATTCTTATCTTGACATGTGGTAGTCGAACTGAAATAATAATCTTGAACGTCATACAAATTATCACGAATCAATACGCTGGTAATTTTTTTCAAGATTGATGTTTGGGAGGAGTAATAAATTCCTTAAAACTGTGAGAGTCCTGTAATGAAGCCTGAGTTGCAGGAAACAAGTGATGGTGGGGACTCATTTTATGTTTTTTCATTAATGACCTCTGGGGAAACTGTCCTTAATTTTTTGTATCTAAAAACTTTCCCTAGCAAGTCTGTCGGCCCTTGACCAACCCTCGTTGTGGTCTATGATAGTGATGGTAAGGTTTTTAAGATCCGCTTGGGCGTGCTGATGTGATCGCAAATGACGACTTATGGGGAGGTCGGGCTTGCAGGTGTAGTCACTTCGATGACCATTCATGTGTTTGTTCTTTCTTTCTGTCTCTCCAACATACTGCATGCCACATCGACACTGATGAAGGTAAACACCATTCAGAGTTTTTCAAGTTACATTGCAATATATAGTGTATACGGACAAGTAAATGTTTGAGTATTCAGTAGTTGTTGGCAAGTCAGACATCGCCTGTTACCACACGACTTGCTCCATCCTGCAGTTAAAGAGCTTTTATTAGAGGAGACGTTAGCTCTCATGAAGAAGTCTTTCAGACTTTTGGGTCTCCGAAAAGCTAACATAGGAGGTTTGGAAAATATCTTGGATATTTTGGTGTTTGGCAATAATCTGCAAATTGGCACGGATGAGATTGGAAAGATTAGTAAAGGCGGGATTGTATGTTAAAACAAACGGAACTATTTCACTTCGCCCTTTCTGTTTGTACTCTAATAGGTCAGTGCGGCTGTTATTGTTAGCACGCACAAACCCCTTATCTATGTCCCATTTCTTATAACCTCGTTTGGTCAAAACTCATGAAACCGTTTAGTGACAGATTCCTCAGAGGAGGAAATCGGCTTCACCCTGAGAGCTTGAATGTACGGGATACTTTTTGTACAGTGTTTGAGGTGACAGCTTTTGGGAGAAAGGTACTACATCAGATGTTTATCTGTAGATTTACAGTAGAGGTCTGTCGACATGACACCGTCCTTTATAGATGTAGTTGTGTCCAACAAAGATCTTTTAGAGTCGGAAATTTCATGTGTGAATTTAATTGCCTGGTGGGCGTTGTTTGCATGTTTGATAAAATCATCCAGTTTTTGTTTGGGTTCAATCCATTTCATGTGAACATCATCGATGAAACGGAATTATGACAGAGGTTTAGATAAAGATGTTGAAACGATTTGTTTCTTTAATTTGCCCACGAACATATTGGCGTAAGACGGTGCCATTTTCGTCCCCATCGCTGTCCCGTTTATCTGAAGGTAATGTTTACTTTGAAGGTGAAATTGTTGCATTTCAGAACCAGAGTAGGCATCTAGACTAAACATTCGGTGGGTGGTTCTTAAACTGTTGCGAGGGTCCAATATTTCCTTGAACGATTGTATACCGTCATCATGAGGTATGTTGGTATACAATGACATCCGAAGTGACAAGGATAGTTTCAGGAAGAAGAGGGTTCATGGATTTCATTTTACGAAGGTAATCTGTGGTGTCTTAAATGTGAGATGGAAGATTTTCTACATGAGATCTTAAATGGAAGTCTACGAATTCAGAGTTTTTATCGGTAGGGTGGCCGTTTCCGGTTACAATGGGTCTACCAGGGTTGTTAACCTTGTACCTTTGTGTATTTTGGGAAGAAGATACAATCGACCAGGCTTGGCGTTCTCTAGTTTTAAATATCCGATTGTATCATCATCTATGTGGCCTATGTCATTGTGCATGGTTTGTAACGCAGTAATAATTATGGAACTAAACTCGGAAGTAGGGCCATGGTCAAGCTTCTTATAAAATCTCTCATCAGAGAGCAGACGATCTGCTTCCGCGATGAAGTTAGCTTTGTCCATTATCACAACGGCACTTCCCTTGTCTGCTGCTTTTATCACAATATAATTTCGGTTTCTCAGCGATTGTATGGCTGTTTTCTTGTGAGAAGAGGTGTTATAAAACGACGAGTACTTGTTGTTAGTTAGATGAACAACATCCGATTTGATTTTGTCGATAACTTCTTCCAGTGTAGCAGTTTATTGTTTTTTGTTTGGTAATAAATTAATATTTAGATCCATATTTTTACATCTTGTGATCCGTTTATTTGGCAATTGCCAATGGCAGTCAGCAGGGTTTAAGAACATCAGTTGTTCGACCCGCTAGTCAAATGCGTTTTGTTAAAATATACTTTTTTCACATATTTAATCTGTTGGAAAATGTTGTTTGTGCTGTATTTAGACCCCTCTACCAAGAGATTTGTTTTGCATGCACACGTATACAAATTGCGGTTTTTATCCAACGCAATCATAGGTCTGAACGTTGTTTTCAATTTATACTTGTTTATATTTTTTCGTTCGGGCTTGTATTATATTTTCCTTCGGGTTTATATGATCCGTTCAACCTATTTCGACTCTTTAAAATTCAAGAGTTTATCCTAAATTGAGGTAAATTATATGGCCTTCCAAATACCGTTTGGATATCTAACATCACTGAAGAGACATTAATTGTCGAAATCCGGATATGGTGTACAAATTTTTGCTCCTCATGTTTGCGGTATGCCATCTTTTCCGCAAGTTTATTGTTTTCTGTTTGGTAATGAATTAATATTAGATCCATTTTGTTACATCTTGTGATCCGTTTATTTGGCAATCGCCAATGGCAGACAGCAGGGTTTAAGAACGTCAGTTGTTCGACCTGCTAGTCAAATGCGTTTTGTTAAAATATACTTTTTCACATTTTTGGTCTTTTGGAAAATGTTGTTTGTGCTGTATTTAGACCCCTCTACCAAGAAATTTGTTTTGCATGCACACGTATAAAAATTGCGGTTTTTATCCAACGCAATCGATGTTTTCAATTTAGACTTGTTGTTGTATATATAAATATATACATATTTAGTAAATCTATTAAAACCAATAGCTTGTCTCAAAACCTTAACGATACCAGAACGCGATACAGATCGAGTTTCTATCAATATGAAACTAACCTATTGTGTACTTAATTTATTTTTATAGATTTAGTTTAAATCAAGCCGTTCGTTTCCTCCGTTCACACATGTCATTCCGGACTTATTACAGCCAAATCAATATCAAACGAGAAAGTTAAATATGCTAGATATATTTACTGGAGGTGTGATGAGATGATTACAGTCATCATTTTTTTCCCTGGACAACATGTATGTACGTTTCGGCATTAAAGTTTATCGACAGATTGTAGGTATTCCTATGGACACCAATTGTGCCCCTTTAATAGCAGAAATGTTCCTGTACTGTTATGAATCACAGTTTATGGCAAAACTAAGAAAATACCCGTCTAAATTCCATTTAATTGATAAATTCAACCACATTTACCGTTATTTTGATGATATCAATTCGTTAAATAATCAAGAATTCTCTAAATATACTGCCTAAATTTAGCTTTATTTATAGTGTGTTCTTATGTTGTGCTGTTTCTCCACTGTCCCAGGTTAGGGGTAGGGTTGAGCGCTCACACAAACATGTTTAACCCTGCCACATTCCTTGTGTGCCTGTCCATGTCAATAGCCTGTAGTTCTGTTATATTATTTTTTGTTAATTGTTTTGTTATAAATTATGCCGTTAGTTTTTTCAATTGAATTGTTTCAAATTTTTCATGTCGGGGCTATTGATATTTACTATACGGTATGGGTTTTTCTTAATGTTGAAGGCCGTACGGTTGCCTGTAAGAAGCACAAAAACAACTGGGGGTTTTCTCATTGTTGAAGGCCGTACGGTTGCCTGTTAGAAGTACAAAAACAACTGATCTGTAATTTATTCCATCAACATGCAACAATACATCAAGTACCTGGTTCAATCTTACGTGATACCGACGAAGAAACAAAAACTATATCTTATTCAGCCTATATATTCGAGTGGTCTTTGGCGTGTGGCAAACTGGGAGGTATTTTCATCATGTCGGAGAAGCATTGGTTTGAATCCCGTTGAGTACCGTACAGAACAAAGCTTGCGGTAGTACTGATGTTCTAGGACGATATTCTGTGTAAAACTTTATTAACAGATAATAATCGTCTTCAAAGAGGTAAGGTACATCTCTAAATGACAGGTTTAACTATAGGCATGTATGTCATTACGAATTACATTTATTGCTAACTGACGTCTTTTCTAGGATGATATGTTTGGTTAAGCATTCAAATTTTTTCTAATATTTAATATTTGATTTCTAGTAGCACTGACAAGAAAATTAACTTTTGACATGCCCATGCGGTTAATTGAAGGGCTTCTGAATGTTTTAATCTTTTCACATAACTTCATATAAGAGGAAATTTGGTGTATGTCTGCACGCATGCTAAATGCATTTTATTTGTAAAATGTATGATTTGACAGTTTGGTATTAATTTATTGTTTATATTCCTTGAGTAATACTTATTTTTTATGTCCATCAAAGTGTTATTTGATACGTATCATGCTCAATTACAACATTTTGTTCGTATATGCCCCATATGTTGATCTCTACTTACCCTTCAATGGCAAAATGATAACCGTTGATAGAGGAGCTCGCAGTCTTAATATCATAATATGGACTGTTTAGTAGCCCCTCTTGACTAAACCAGTTTGTCTTATCTGTTCCAGTACCATCAAAGTTTAGAAAGGCTTGTTCCAGACCATTTTGATAAACAACTACCTTTACCTGACGATATTGATTAAGTTAATCATGTATACTGTTTAAAGTATTCTATGTGTAGTCAAAGTTTCAAACTGATATTACAAATGCTACTCAAGCAGATCTAGATAAACGCTTAGTTTATATCTAAATATTAAGACATTTTTAAAGTGAATAATATCTTTTTTGACATTTGCTGTTAGAAATTTTAGAAATCATTTTAAATTCAGGACTGTATCACCCTTATGCTCTGATTTTGCCGAAATTGGCTTTACTTTATGTCTTTTTTTTGGTTTTATCAGCTCTTCTTCATTTTTGTTAGGTTTGGATTTTCAAATATGTTGGTCTCGAGCACCATTGAAAGGAAATTGATTGTCGAGTGCGGAGAAATGAAATTGGTGCTTTCTATTTTGTTACATCACATGTTTTTTTTTTTTTTTTTTTTTTTTTTTTTTTTTTTTTTTTTTTTTTTTTGCTTCGTTTAGCTGGTGAACTCTGCTGCTCACTTTAGTTCAAAGGAAATACATGTATTTTGTTGTATTCAAGTTCTTCTGAGGAAATATGTATTTACAGGAAAACGATAAAATATTTCGCAACAAAGTGCTATATGTTTCTGTTGCACATTTTTTACTCAAAGGTGCAATATACATGATACATGTGTATAGTAAACCTTGAAAATCTTGACCCCCATCAATGAAATTTTGGGACCGCTTCCATTTAAAATATAAAATTATAAAACAAGGCATACTTCAACTGACATTTGTCTATACATGGTTATTTGAAGACTCATAAACGATTTAAAGCTACTTTGAGAAACAACAAAATACATGTACCCACTCTTAACATTAATTTTTTTTATAAAACAAATATTTTCCTTGACATCACGGAACAGGCAATTTGTCAATTTAATAAATACATGAAAATGTCATGATTTGGTGTATCTACTTATAAAACGTTTTGCTAGGGAATGAAACAGATTTTTAAAATAGATTGATTGTAGATTTTTGGCTATAAATAATGTTGAAATTAACGAAAATTCTATCTTTTTATAATAGGCTTAAAAAAATGTCGTGTCTTACATTTAAGTCAGTATTGTTACCTGTTCGATGTCAATATCCTTCCAGTGATTAATGATATCTGACTTGAAATGCTTTCCATTTGAGATATTAACAGTTTGTGCATCAATGTCGTTAATATTGTAGGTTATCCCATCGTCCATATACAGATCATATACATTGGTATTTTTCCCTTGATAAAAAACAAAAAAAGCGATTTGAGATTCGAAACTTTTGCTTTATTGTGCTCAGAAACCTCTGTTTATATACGCCTGAAGGAATTTTAAAGGATAAAAAAAGCTATATTTCTTACAATGTTTTTCTTTACATAAAAAGTGTTTTAACAGATTTATGACGAAGAACGACTGCAAGCGACACTGCATAAGATTTAAATTCACCTTCACGAATTGGTAGACCGATACAATATGTCTGTATCTCAACTGCATAGCGACATGTTTTTGCAGTCCTCAATTTTTAGACACCAGAGAAGTATTCTAGTCCGTAATTTTGCCGAGTGTGTCCAATTTCCAATTGTTACACTTCGAAGCATGCATATCAGGAGACGCTTTCCTGGTCGCATTACCAGGTCTCGATCCTTTTAGGTTTCGTGCGATACCCTATGTTATAAAATTAAGAATAACAAACGGGGAGTGTGTCAGAGACAACAGTCCGACTAAAGAGCAGAAAACAGCCCAAGGCCACCAATGGGTTTTCAACACAGAAGCGGGCTTCAACTGGCCCTTAACCAATAATGTATAATAGTAAAGCGAAAATGGACGCCATACTAAACTCCGAAACATATAAATGAACTAAATATTTTAAAAAACATAGAAGACTAACAAAGGCAAGAGGTTCCTGACTTGGGACAGGCGCAAACATTTGGCGTTGTTAAACATGTTTTGTAAGATCTCAACCCTCCACTTATACCTCTAGCCAATGTGGAATAATACGCACAGTAAAACTCAGTTTAAAATAAGTCCGAATCCGATGTAAGAAAAGGTATCAGAAGAAACTAAGCAAAGTGACAATGATCAACATAAATTAACAAAGGACTCCTAGCAGTTACTGACATCCCAGCTCCAGACCTCAATTAAACTGATTGAAAGATTGTGTCTTCATCATATGAAAATCAAGCACAATCCCTCCCGTTAGGGGTTTATTATCATACCATCATAAAATATACAATAACATAAACCGTATCATTCCAACATCTGGTTTTCTAATAAATGTGTTTATTTCCGAGGCAAAAAGGGAATCAATATTAATTAAAAAAGCCATCTTAACTGACCTGACAACAATATCGTAACAATATCCCTTCTGAATAAGTCTGTTTAAAGGTTTTGTTAGCTTTTGAGGTGAATGACGACATTTTTGTGATTTGTTTATAATATTACCATTAACGATGGGATGGGAAATACCTGAACGTATAAGATGTCTGCACGTTGATTTATATTTACGAATGATGTCGTTGTATTGATGATAAAATTTAGTAAATGTTTTGACAAGTTCGTGATATCGAAAACCCTGGTAAAATAATTTTTCAGTAATACAGAGATACGTTGTTACATACACGGGCGAATCGAACAAGTTGAGATATATAAACATCCTGAGATGTTGCCAAAGAAAGTCATCATCTAAAAATGGATAATTTTCAAAAGGAAATGAAAAATCATCTCTTTTATCGTAAATTTTAGTATTAAGCTTCCCTTTAAAGATATAGATATCAAGATCAAGGAAAGGGCAGTGTTCATTGTTAGTATTAGCTTTATTTAAAGTAAGTTCAACAGGATTAATCTCTTTAGTGTATATACTGAAGACGTCATTAGTGAGAGCCAATATATCATCCAAATATCTAAAAGTGTCATTAAGTTTTTGTATCAGATCTTGCATTGTTTTCATTGGTCTTTGCTGATTTCAAACATAAATTGCAACTCGTAACAATACAGAAACAGGTCCGCAATAGGCGTTGCCCAGTTAGTCCCCATTGGAATTCCGATATACTGAATCTCCATAGCGAACACATTTTTTATCTAGTAAAATTCAAGTGCAGTTATCGTATCAAAGCAGGTCGAATTGAAATAGTTCTTTTATTTGTTGTCACTAAAAAAATTACCTAAAGGAGTTTAAACATATATATTCGCAAACTTACCATTTGCATCAATTTTAAATACAAACTTCCAGTCTGTTGAAGCTGTTTTTATCAGACTTCCAGTCAACAACCATAAGAGACCTATAATTGAATATTGGTATATACAGTGTAAAATCTTTATAAAATTAACAATAGGCTTTCTATTCACGTTGGTTTTCCCGTTTGTATGGTTTTACACTAGTAATTTTTGGGGCCCTTTATAGCTTGCTGTTCAGTGTGAGCCTAGGCTCCGTGTTGAAGACCGTACATTGACCTATAATGGTTTAATTTTATCAATTTTGACTTGGATGGAGAGTTGTCTCATTGGCACTTATACCACATCTTCTTATATCTATGAACCTTTATATTTTAAATTAAAAGATAATACTAAAAACGTATGTTTTAATTTTCTTTCATCTTTTCGCGGTGATGACTTGCGCATGAAATATTGGTTAATAAGTTTTATTTTTATATCAATGAGAGGACAATAGCTGAAGATGATTGCGTAAGTCAGATCGGTAAATGGCGTATACAAAAATTTGGATATACTAGACCGGGGAATAGAAATATGATCGCTATAGGTTTTCTTCCGACCGGCAGTAAAACCCTTGCCAAAGTTGGGCGTCCGTCTGGCTGTGCGGGATGTACATGTATGAATCAACGTCCGGTTAGAATGGGGACGTTTAATGCGATTCTTCGTGTAGAAAGATTGCCTCGCTCTCTGCACGTTAGGAACCCCTGCAAAAACTCGAAGGATCGGTGGGTCGCCTGTTGCAAGGCTAAATTTCTGCCCCTATCCAATATACCCTCATTGTTTAGTGGCTGTCTAAATTTTTCAGACCTACGGCCTCTATAACAGACAAACCTATTGTATTTATTGTTAATTTGTTCATGTCCTGAACCCACAAACGATCAATCATGAAAACCATTTTGTATTAATTGTGAAGAAGACACTGATTATTTATTTATTTAGGTCTTGGTACATTCCGATGAACTTTTTGAGAGAAAGGACGAGACGTTTTTTGACAAAACCCTGGCTCATTATTGTTTTGCTCAGACACTGATGACGTTTTACAAAGTCTGAGAAGCAACAAGCTCCTGAATATCGTATGAGTTGAAAAATGTATACTCCATACGCGTGTGAAGTTGTTCCTAAGTGGAAAGTTTATAATTTTAAAATTGAAATCGTCTCGTTTCAGATTTAAAACTAAATTAAGAGAATATCTAAATTCAAAATAGAAGTTGGTCATATCATGTATGTGGAGCAGAGAACATATCTAATTCTGGTGATTGCTTGATTGTTGTTTGTCAATGTTCAGTGACAAATATGCAATGCATATTCAAGAGAAGAACAATTAATAATAAGTTCAATATGTAGGATCTTAATAAATTTAACGTGCTAAAGGACGGACATTTCGTCTGTCGTTAGAATATCAGGAAAAATTGTATGTAGGAGACAGAAATGTTCACTCTGCAGACCCGTAAAAGAGATCTTACATGAAAAAAGTAAAATCAAAAAAATACTGAACTCCGAGGAAAATTCAATCGGAAAGTCCCTAATCACATGGCAAAATCAAATGACAAAACACATCAAACGAATGGATAACAACTGTCATATTCATATAAACTACAGTCAGAGAGTCAGTCTCTCCACATAAAGCTTTTTCTCAAAAGCCTCCATTCATAAGCAATGCGCATTTGCAAAAAATGCACAGAAAAACGGAGACCCATTCTTTGGTAGGAGTAAGAACTGTTTAAGCCTATTAAACGCTCTGATTACCAATAAGGTATGAAAACAAATTCATTAACGATACTAGGCTTATAATTTGTGTACGCAAGATGAGCGTTTTTTCTACGAAAGACTCACCATTGATGCTTGAATAAAAAGGTTAAATGGCCAAATAAAGAACGTCAGTGCTTGGAAGAATAAAATTAATCAATGTAACTTGAAAGACCATTACACAACAAATATGAAAATCAATATCAATACTAACAGCATAATTATATATATTTTCTAGTTATTTGGAGCAATCCGCTTTATTTTGTAATGAATGAATAAATAATGAAACAGTTTGGAATATCAAAATACATCAAAGCTTAACTATCGACTTTTAAAGTTACAATTCTAATTGAAAATAAAAAATCTTCCCAGGGGACATCCAATCTATATATTCTTGTTACTTTTTTAAGAGAAAATTGTATGCAAAAAGTAAAATAACAAAAAAACCGAACTCCGAGGAAAATTCAAAACGGAAAGTCCCTAAACAAATGGCAAAATCAAAAGCTCAAACACATCAAGCAAATGGATAACAACTGTCATATTCCTGACTTGGTACAGGCATTTTCTTGTGTAGAAAATGGTGGATTGAACCTAGTTTTATAACTAGCTAAACCTCTCACTTGTATGACAGTCGCTTAAAATTCCATTATATTGACAACAATGTGTGAACAAAACAAACAGACATAATAGGTAAAAATGTCAAATATAGGGGTACAACAGTCAGCATTGTGTTATAATGTTAATCACTATAAAAACAAACAAATATGTCTACAAAGAAATACAAAAAGGCATATAGACAAAACACATAA